AGGAAATTCTGCTCTTTGTGACAACACAGATGAACTTGCAGGACATTATGCTAAAGTTGAACTTGTAGAGGCAGAGGGTAAAATAGTGGCTACCAGGGGTTGAGGGATGGGACAATGGGTGCTGTCATTTGCTTTGCTGCTTTATGTTAGCCACAGCTAATTGGAATAGGAACACTGCATTGTAATTTGAGGTGAGTGGTCAAATGCCACTTGTCCACTGTATGCCAATCATGACATTTCTCTGTGGTGTAGCCTCCTTCTTATGCGCTAAATTGTGTCCCCTAAAATACATATGTTGAAGTCCCAACCCTCAGTATCTCAGAATGTAAATATATTTGAAGATAAGATCTTTAAAGAGAGATCATGAAATGAAGTCTTTAGGGTGAGTTTTAATTCATTAGCACTAGTGTTCTTATAAGAAGAGGAAATTTGGATACAGACATGTGTGAACACAGAGAAAAGACCATATAAAGAAACAAGCCAAGGAGAGAGGCCTCAGAATGAAACCAACACTGTTTACACCTTGATCTTGGACTTCTGGAACTATGGGACAATATATGTCTGTTGTTTAAGCCCCCTGGTCTATGGCACTTTGTTTCGGCAGCTTTATCTCTACACCCTGTATCTGTACAAGGGAGTGGTACCAGGGCATTAAAGCCTCTCTGGCTCTGACAGGCCTGGCCTATCTGGACTTTCCTTGAAACCTGCACCTGCCTGAAAGACCCCCGTGGGCAAGTGATAGATGAAATGCCTGAGTGGAAGCTGTCTTGATCAGTGACCTGTGTATTGAGTGAGGGAGGCAGTGACTGCGGTCCCCCGGAGAGGAATGGAAAACCCACTGTATAAACTGTGAAGTGTTGTACCAGTGTGAAGAGTGATTTTTGTGCTATTGAGATGCTTTGACTGATGAAGGTGAAATACAGCTTTGGAATAAAACTCAACTTTCTCTGCTTTGCAGTCAGATTCTGGGTCTAATTTTGCATTAGTAATTAATGCTCTGTTCTGGTTATTTCTCATCTTAAAACCAACCAACTCACCCCATTTCCAGCTTAACTCTACATTCCCCACTGGCTGCCACTATTTCTGTTCCTTTTTATAGGAAATGTCAAAAGGGTTGTCTGTGATCACTTCCACTCTCTACCTTTGCTGCCTGGACACTGCCAGTCCACTCCTCTAGGTTTGCTCTTGTCAAAGTCTGCCATCATGTCCTGTGGCCTCAACCCTAGGTCCTTTGTGGCTTCATTGTCCTTATCTTTTATGATGTCCCAGCAACCTGAAACTCAGTTTACTTCCTTTTACTCAAAATGCTTTCTTTGCTTGACTTCCCCTATAGACATTGGCCCTTCTGGATATTTATCTTATCCCTTGGCCTCCTTCTCAAGCTCTTTTTCTGACTTCCACTCTTTCTCTCAAGTTTTAAATGGAGGAGTGTCCCAAGACAGTTTGGATGTTTGCTCTTGATTCATGTTCTTTCTCTTAGTGACTACATTAAGTCGCATGGCTGAGAAGCATCATCCCACGCAGATGACTTCTCGGTGTCTTTAGCCTGAATTGCCTTGAAGCCCCAGGCTCATGCATACCACTGCTAATAGCAGGCCTCTTGCCATGTCTAACTTATCAAAAATAGAATTTTGACATTTTTTTCCTCTAGCCACAGTGGATAATTCTATATACTCCAACATACCAAACACATTTGCAGTCCTGGGGCCATTGCACTTGTGGTTCCTTCTGGAAATTTCTTCTCCGTGATCTTCACTTATTGGCCTTTTCTTACTGTTCAGGTCTCAGATCATGTCACCTCTTCTGAGAGGACTGCTGGTCGTGCAGTCTAAAGTAGCTTCCTAGATTCTATCACTTAATTCTGTGCACAATGCTCCTTCCATGCTACTGCATAATCCCTCTGACCAGAAGGAGATGGGGAGTTAAGGAAAAGATTTAGGGCTTAGCAAGTCAGGCCAAGGAAAGAGAGCATGGGAGGGGCAACTTTGAAACAGGAGGATTAAGTAAAGGTCTGAAGTTGGAACAGTGGCACCTGTAGCCAGGGTTCCTCTTAGGGTGCACAGGGTCAGTTAATATTTTTTGTGTGTTTTTTTCTATAACAAATAAACAGTTTGAGTCACATAAAATCAGCTTGTTAACTCCATTCCGGTGACTCAGTCTTCTATGATCCTGTGGTGAAAATGCTCTGCTGGTCAGTAGGATTCATTTGCTTGCTAGGCCACCCTTATGGCACCATGGCCGGGCCCCGGGGCCCCAGGATGACTCCATAAATATGAGTTCTATTTCCTTGGGGCATTTGGTTAACCCTTTGCATGGAGAAGAGGGCCAGTGAGCACCCTGAAGGGGAGTAACAGGGACTAGGTTCATGTAGTACAGGTCTGAAACACCTTACGTATGTGGAACTGCTGTGCCTGCCAACCCTAGGAGGACTCTTTCTGGCCATTCCTGGCAGGAGTTGGGGGAAAATTTGCAAAGAAGGCACTTCAAAGCTTTGTGTTCCCATGAAGGGTCCTGCTAGCTTGGGTCTGAGGGCTTTCCTGCCTGCAACCTGTCACTAACATAGACTCCTGGAATGGTGGTGGTCAGACATCACCCGAGTGAGACAGGGAACAACCACTAAATAATCTCAGAGAGAGGACCCCTAGATTCGTGCATTTGAGGTTTCCTTAGTGAAATGGCTGGTTCTTCATCCATTCACCTTAGAGTGAAGTGTACCTCTCCAGGAAGCCCTGTCTACACATGCTGAGTCTCCTATTCAGATATGTATTTTCCCTCTTGAATATGAATAGTCAGGGGCACCAGACATCTGAGGAAAGCCCTCAACATGAATGACAAACACGAAATAAAACAAACTTTAAAAAAAACCCTAAAAAGCAAACAAAACAAAACAAAACAAAATAGATGAAATAGGCCTAAATCAGAATATGAGGATGAAAGAGCTCTAAAGCCCCTAGAGGTGGGCTATTGCATTCACGAAACAAGTACAGGATGTAATAAAGCAAAAAGGAACAACCAAAGAATAAGAAAGAGCTCTCGGGAGTTACAAATGCAATAGCTGAAATAAAAAATTCAGTAGAAGGTGAGGAAGATAAAGTCAGTGAAATCAACCAGGAAATAGAACCAAAAAGACAAGAGATGAAAAATAAGAGAGAAATGATAAGGCACTTAAAAGATCAACTCAAGAAGTCCAGTTTTTGACCAGAAGGAGTTCTAGAAAACAAAAAGAGAAATGAGAGAAGAAATTGTCCAAGAAATCCTAAGCCAAGATGTATTAGACTGGAAGGACCTGAGACTCCTGGGTGAGAGCACCTTGAATATCCAACAGAGTCAATGAAAGAAAATCTAAACAAAGGCACATAATTTAAAAATTTTTCAAAATATCAGTGATAAAAAAATTATTGCCTTACACAGAAGAATGAGAATACTAGTTGCAGTCCTGGATGCTAGAAGGCAAGAAGGTCTAGTCTTCCAAATTCTGCAAGAAATGAATATTAATCAAATTCTATGAGCTTAGCTAAATTAACAGTTATATGTGAGGGTAGCATATAGATATTTTCAGACCAAGACTCAGAAAGTGTTTGTGCATATTTATCTGAGAAATACTATAAAATGAGGAAGTGGCCAAAAAAGAAACCTTAGAGCAACAAAACAAGGGCTCCAGCTCAGGAAAGGCTGAGAGGTGAGGGTGGTGGATGGATGGATGGTCAGGAGACCTAGACAGACACATTGAGATCAGAGAAAAAGGTAAGATTATGTCTGAGGTATCTCTTGGAAATCTCTTGGGATATCTCTTGGGAAAAGGATAACCGCTGTATTATCTGTTATAATAAAAAGTACTTGGTTAAACACAGAGAAAGATTCTCTATAGATATTAGAGAAGTTTGGAAACAGTTAATATCCAACTTCAACATAAAACAATTATTAACTTAGGAAAAATACTTGAAAGAAAATGCCATCATATTACTATATTTTATTAAACTTATGGTGCCATTAATTATAAAATGTATCATTATTTTAAGAAAAAAGAAAAAACTGTTGCCTATTGAAAAGGCAAATTTTAACATGCCAATATTTCAGAGAACTATCTTAGAAAGTTAAAAAATGTACTTGTTGGAATTGGTGGAAATATCACCCTATTTGCCTTTGCTGTGAACTGTGTTTACACTGATTACTGATTTAACCACAAATTGTGATGTAAATTTATTGTGCAGATAAGGAGAGAAAAAGTATATAAGTGGGAAATATAACTGCTTAATACTCATGTAACAAAAAAGAAAGGCAGTAGTTAATGTCTAGAATTGATAAATCAAGAATAGCAGCATTATTCAGATATAGATGTAAGCACATGAAGGAACAGCTGAAATAATTGAAATGGTGGCCTTTGGGAATGGAGTAGGGTGGGGTCAATGATAATCAAGTAGCTTTGAGAATTGCTGTTTTTAATAAGAAGCTTTGGGCTTACAAACATGTTTAGCATATGCATGTTACTTTGATGTAAACAGAGGTGGAGGAAAACACATACACACACACATGCACGCATGCACACATGCACATACAACCTTTTTGGAGCTTAAAAATGGGACAAAAATGAGAGATTTGGGGCCCTAAATCTGCTCTTTCTTTGTAATATTTTATCTGGACATCAAGTTAAGACATGATCATATCCTGCTTAACTGGCCTCTAGCAAGACCAGGTATCCCTTCTCCCCCTTTTCCCAGAATGGAGGTGTGGCCACGGATGGCCCAGCATCCACTTATCTTTGCAGAAAGCTTGAGTTTACAAATTCTTCCACATATTTCAACCCATTTGACCCGTGCCACAGCCTGATTAGGTGTAACAATTGCCATTTCAAGTGTGTTGACATTGAGACTGGTATGGCCACTGCTGGTCCACCCACCCCACAACAGCTCAGCTGTTCCCTCTGCAGAATCAGAGACACTTCTCCTCCCTCAGGGAGTATCACTGTCACTTAATGTTATTCTGTCCCCACTATATTTTAGAGGAAAGAGCAAGAGGAGAGGAAGCAAGGAGAAGAGCAGATTCGTCTACAGGAGGAGCAGAGGGCAAAGGAACTCTACTGGACACTGAAGCAGGCCCAGCTACAGAGCCAAGCAAGTGAGAAGGAGGAACAAGAGTGGGAAGAACAGTGTGAGTAGTCCTCATAGTCCAGAGACCAGCGTGCCTTCCCCACTCACTCTTCTCCCACTCATTTATCTGCTCAGCCATCATCATTCCAGTTCTCCCACTCAGCCCAGAAGCCTTTACCCAGGGCCAGCTGTGTGCTTGGTTCTGCTAAGGACCCAGAGGGTAAGGGCTGCACCCTCAAGGAGCTTACTTCCCTGTAGAGGAGATTTCTTATACTAAAATAGAAAACCCTACATTTCCTGAGTTACAAATAATTTTCTGGCTCTGTGACAAGCTCTGGGGATCCAGAGGGGAGGGATCATGGTGATATCTTGGAGGAACTCACCAGGCAGGCAGGGATAGACACACAAGCTGAGGGCTCTGATGGACAGTGTCCCATGCAGCATTGTCAAGTAAAAGTTGATGGTGGTATAGCAATAGCTGAGGCACAGAGACTACAGAGGACGCTCTAGGCAAAGTCATGTGTAAAAGGAGGGTGACAGGGGAATGTGGTTGGAGTACCCAGCATGTGTGAAGGAATGGTGTCAAAGGAATGTGGTGTGCTTAGGAAGCCAGAGATGTATGGGTGGCTACAAAGTTTGGAGAGTGTCATTAGGGTGGTGAGAAGGGGAAGGTATAGCCAGGATGGAAAGGTGGTGTTTTTTTTTAAAGATTTTATTTATTTATTTTTAGAGAGAGGGGAAGGAGGGGAGAAAGAGAGGGAGGGAAACATCGATGTGTGAGAGAACATCAATCAGTTGCTTCTCTTATGACCCCAATTGAAGACCTGGCCTGCAACCTAGTCATGTGCCCTGACTGGGAACCAAAAAGGTGTCTTTTTGGTTTGCAGGATGACTATCACCCACTGAGCCATACTGGTCAGGGCAGAAGGGTGGTGTTTCAATGTGTACTCAGGCTAGCTTTAATCAGGTCTGGTAAAACCATGCAGACATGGAAATGACTGTCTTTCAGGAAGAATTTTTTACTCCCAGATTCCTAGAAATGTCAGAGAGCAGGCATGACACTCAGGGCCACACTGAGAGGCACCAGGCTCAGTCAGGAGGCAGAGGGAGTGAAGGGAAAATGTGGGCCAGAGCCTTTGTTGTGGGTTCTGTGGGAAAGGCGAGGCAGGGCAGGGAAAGCAGGCTTAGGTTTGGCTAGTCTGAATAATTTCAGCAGGCTTTGGGATACAAATGCTGCCTCCAGTTGTCTGTTACCTGGCCCTGGGGTGATTAGGCCAGGTGGATAGTGACCCAGAGAGTGAGAACTAGATACAGGAGGTGGTTGGGATTAGGCTTTGGGTTGGTTGGTTTGTATGTGGAAGACATGCTTGCATGGCAGTCTTTTACAAACTTTAGGAATTGGGGAGCTAAGGGAGGGGCAGTCTCTAGGATCAGATAGTAAAACATAACAAATACACAAAGTAAAAGGCATATAATACGGGTGGACAGTGAATGACATGATTGAGGCTGAGTTTGGGCATGAGAGAAGGAGACTGCCACAACAGTGCATTTCAGAGGTGACTGGCACCAAGGCCACAGCAGAGAGACTGGAGTTGTGAGGTGATGTCCACTTCTAGCCCTCAGTCCTCAGCCTTTCTTAACCATGCATCAGACCAATAGGCAGATTCAATAGGCAGATTCAATAGGCAGACTTCCCAAAAAATTGAAATATAATTCACACAATGTGAAATTCATTCCTTTAATACATACATTTCCATGGTTTTTAGTCTACTTACAAAGTTGTACAACCATCACCACTATCTAATTCCAGAACATGTTCTTTACCACAGATAGAAACTCTACCCACAGGCATTTCTCCTGCCATACCCTTGGAAGCCATGAATCCAATTCCTGTCTCTATGATTTGCCTGTTTATACTGGATATTTCATAGAAATAGAGCCATACATTATGTGGTCTTTTGTGTCTGAATTCTTCCATTTAGTGTGTTTTCAAGGTCCATCATGTTATGCATGTATCAGCATTTCTTTTTTTATGGCTGAATAAAATTCTAATGTATGTACATATCAAATTTTTTTTATCCATTTGCAAGTTGATAGACCTTTGGGTTGTTTGTTTCCACTTTTTGACTGTTATGAATAATGTTGCTCTGCTCATTTGTGGGTTTTTGTGTGAACATATATTTTCAGTTCCCTTGTGTATATACCTAGGAGTGGAATTTCTGGGTCATATAATAACTCTATTTAACATTTTGAGGGACAGCTACACTGTTTTCCAAAGTGACTGCACCATTGTACATTTCCACAAACAGTATATGAGGGTTTCAATTTCTTCACATTCTGGCTAACACTTGCTATTTTCTGTCATTTTGATAATAGACATCCTACTAAATAGCGAGGTGCTATCTCATTTCCCTGGTGCATTTCCCAGGTGGTTAAAGATGTTGAGCACCTTGTCATGTACCTATTAGCCAGCTGTATGTCTTTTTTGAGTAAATATCTATTTAGGCCCTTTGCCCATTTTTAAATTAGGGTATTTGGTTTTTGCTTTTAAGTTGTATGAATTCCTTATATATTTTGAATATTAAGCCTTATTGGATATATGGTTGGCAGATATTTTCTCCCATGCCATAGTTTTCATGTTGTTGATTGTTTCCTTTGCTGTGCAGTAATATTTTAGTTTGCTGTAGTTTTTTTGATTTAATAAAGCTTTATTTTTCAAAATGTACAGCTGGTGGGACCTATTGTTTATGCATCTTTACCAGAAACTGGGGCATCCTCACCCTTGGTGTTTCTGGTGTAAATTACTTGAGCTCTATGCTTGAAACTAGTTGAATAAGTCTTTTACTAAGGAGTGCCTGAAGGGCTGCCCTGGCCAAGGAACCTTGGATCTTTAGTCTTTCAGAGACAATAGTCAGGGTTATAAGCTTAAGGTTGGGACTTTCCTTACAGAGTTTGTCATATATTGCTTAGTTAAATAAGACTAGGTTATTGAACTTGTCCTGAAGTTTGCCTTTGGACCACTTCTTTTTGGCTTTGCCCCTAGATTTGTTTACTGGGTCTTTGTCTTTTTTGGCTGACTTTCTGAGGGCATCTTTCTTCTTGTTGTCCTTGAGTAGCCTAGAAAAACCTGAAGTATAGCTGGAACTACTACTGCCTTGTTAAGATGTTGTACCAAAGGGAAAAAAGGTACTTGTTTATTTTTGCTTTTGGTGTCTAATTAAATTAAAAAATTGCTAAGATCAATGTCAAGAAACTTTCTCCCTGTGTTTTCTTCTAGGAGTTTTATAGTTTCAGGCCTTATATTTAAGTTTTTCATCCACTTTGAGTTGATCTTTGTGTATGGTTTGAGATAGAGTCTAATTTCATCCTTTTGCATGTGGATATCCAGTTTTCCCAACACCTCTTATTGAAGAAATTGTCTTTTCTCTACTGAAGTTGAGTTGACAGTATATGCATGAGTTTATTTCTAGACTCTCTATTCTGTTTCATTGGTCTACATGTCTGTTTTTATGCCAGTACCATAGTGTTTTGTTTACTATAGCTTTATAATTTTATTTGAAATCAACAGGTGAGATGCCTCCAGCTTTGTTCTTCTCGCTCAAGATTGCTTTAGTATTCAGAATCTTTTGTGTGTCCACAGGAATTTAGGGATTATTTTTTCAATTTCTGTGAAAAATGCCATTGGAATTTTGACAGGGATTGCATCAAATCTCTAGATGACTTTGAGTAGTATGCATATTTTAACAATATTAATTATTCCAATCTGTGAACAGGGGATGCCTTTTCATTTATTTGCGCCTTCTTCAATTTCTGTCATCAGTGTCTTACAGTTTTCAATGTACAGGTCTTTCACTTCTTTGATTAAATTTATGTCTAAGTATTTAATTCTTTTTGATGCTATAGTATAGTATATACTATATAGTATAGTATAGTAAATGAGGTTTTCTTAATTTCTTTTTTGGGTAGTTTGGTCTGCTAATATTGTGTTGAGGATTTTTTCATGTGTGTTTATCAAGGATATTGACTAGTATTTTTTTCTTGTATTGTCTCTATTTGGCTTTGGTATGAAAATAGTGCTGGCCTACTAAAATGAGTTTGGAAGTGTTCCCTCCTCTATTTTTTTGGAAGAGTTTGAGAAGGATATATAAATGTTCAATAGAATTCACCAGTGAATCCATATGACCCTGGACTTTTCTTTCTTGGGAGACTTTTGATTACTGATTCAACTCTCTCACTAGTAATTATTCTATTCAGATTTTCTATTTCTTCGTGATTCAGTCTTGATAGGTTTTATGTTTCTAGAAATTTATCCATTTCTTCTAGGATTTCTAATTTGTTAGAATAATTATTGATAGTCGTTTCATATAATCCTTAGTGTTTTTATGGTGTCAGTTGTAATATTTCCTCTTTCATTTCTGATTTTATTTGTTTGTATCTTCTCTCTTTTTTTCTTAGTATGACTGAAAGTTTTTCAGTTTTATCCATCTTAAAAAAAACAATAACACCAGGTCTTAGTTTTATTTATATTTCCTATTGTTTTTCTAGTGTCTATTTTATTCTGCTCTGATTTTATATATTATTTTCTTCCTTCTGCTAACGTTGTGCTTAGTTTGTTCATCTTCTCATTCTTTGAAGTATAAAGTTAGGTTATTTGAGATCTTTTTTCTCTATGTAGGAATGATCATTATAACCTCTCTTCTTAGAATAGCTTTAACTGCATTTCATGTTTTAATATATTGTGTTTCCATTTTCATTTATCTCAAGATTTTTTGATTTCTCTTTTGATTTCTTCTTTGGCCCATTTGCTCAGGAGTGTGTTGTTTAATTTCCACATATTTTTGAATTATGCAGCATTCTTTCTATTATTGATTTCTAGTTTTGTACTATTATGGTTAGAAAAGATATTTGATGTGTTATCAATCTTCTTAAAAATTTTAAGACTTATTTTGTGACCTAAGCTATGATCTATCCTGGAGAATGTTCCATGTGGGTTTGAGAAGAATGTATATTCTGCTGCTGCTGCTGAATGGAATGTTTTGTGCCTGTCTGTTAGGTCCACTT